CAAATCTCCAAAGTATATCAGGTGCAGATAGGCAAGAGCTAAGGCTTGGGGAGTCCAGAATGTGTGTTGGGTAGTGGAGTTTAATCAGATTAAACCATGTAGCTGGCTGTTGAGAGCACTGTCTTGTAATATATAATTATATAAAATATCCCAATGACATGATAATAATCCTTGCATTTGATATAGTGCCTTATCACGTTGTTGAGAAGTCTGAAAGCGCTTCACAGAGTAAACTGTAAAGTGAATTGACTGTATATTTTGTGGGCAAAACACATACAGAAAATGCAAGGATTATTATTATCATACTTTAGTCTTCAAACCAAACTTCTGATCGTTCTACATTAAATGTGGTTCCCACTTGTCTGGAAAGCAGTTCACACTCTCCCTGATTGACACATCCTGTTTATCTCATCCCAGGAATTTAAATGAATCTTGGCAAGAGCTAAGGCTTGAAAATCCCAGAATATGCATTGGGAAACTGACAGTTTAAACAGTCTGAATCCTACTGGTTAGATTCCCACTGCTTTTTCAACTGTGACTACCTGGCTATCTGGAGTTGAGTGAGCAGGGAAATCATTTCGATTTGGGATATAGCACTTCAGGAATTTAATTTTACTGCTCATCTTATTAACTGTTTGTGCTAATAGAATTTTATGACATGGTGGTAATCATTACCTTTCTGTGAATGCTACTGATTTACAGTCTTCATTCTGAAGACTATTTGATGAAGTAGGTTTCCCTTTAGACATTGTGCAAAGTATTGCAATTTCCAAAATTGAAATTTCTCACCTCAAGGATAATGTACACAAAAAAATCAGCAAAATATACAACAAATCTGTAACCAATCTGTTTCTGAATCTAATGCACACTTCTACTATGTTTGATAGCAACTGCCTCAATTTCAGTACAGATTGACCACCATACGTATAGTATAGATAATACAAATTGTGCCCAAGTTATCCTCTTAATATTACCTGAAATGAGATGGTTTCAGGTACAATGCAAATTGCAATCATGTAATATAAACAGTGGGTATGAGCACATTGGCAGCAGACTATCATGTTGCAAATTTTAAAAACTGTAATATCCGCAAGTAAAATTCCGACTTGATTTTAATTCCTCCTAGAACATTCACCAAATTTTTGACACATTAAATGATTGTTTAATTTATTCATCACAATTGTGTACAAAGAACTGACAAAAATTATTTTAAGATACACTGTTTTATTTATGGATCACAAGGATTATTATTTTTGTCTGACTCCAGTACATTCCTACATCAAAAACATAAGAGACTGGGTACAACAAACATGAAAGATGTACACATAATGATTGGATGTTACAATAATGATTCCTGCATTTGATATAGCATCTTATTGCATTGTCAAAACATCTCAACGAGTTTACTGTAGTGACTGTATTTGTAGGTGAATATGGCAGCCAACTTACACACAACAATGTACCACAAGTAAGTGAACAATTTTATTTGGGGGATTGTTGGCCACAACACTGACAGAAACTCCCTGTTCTTTTCAAATAGTGCTATGGGATCTTTAACATCCATCTGAAGAGGCAAATGAGACCTCAAGTTTACATCTCACTCAAAGGACGGCACCTCTGACAATGCTGTGCCCCCCCACCCCACACCCAGCATGAGCTCAAAGCTCCAACGTGTGGCTTGAACCCACAAGTTGCTGACTTGGAGGTGGGAGTATGACCAACTGAGCCAGGCTGACACTTTATACTGACAAAAGTAAGGAAAAGAATCAGGTACATCTATTGAACATTCAGTGATATTAACCAAAGCTAGTCAATTATCTAGATGGATCTTGGGTTACAGGTAATTTGTCAACAATTTTATATTATAATACACTAAACACACAGTCAATTCACTTTACAGTATACTCTGTGAAGGCTTTGAGATTTTAAGCCTCGCCCCCTCCCTTGCCTCCTTCAAGATCCATCTCAAGACCCTCCTCTTCGACCGTGCCTTGATCACACTCCTTCCCCCCCCCCACTTGCCCTCCACCTTCCCCAATCCCAACCCCCAGCTCAGGTCCAAAACACTGACTGTCCAGCAATGCCTTGGGACGACCTCCCAACATGAAAGATGCTATACAAATGTAATTTTGTTGTTGCTAAAATGTCAATCAACCACTGTCAAACTCTCACCTTAAACCAACAAGTTTGATTTATAAATTTAAGAACATAAGTCATGGATTTGAAAAAGGCAATTTTGGTTTGGTCACTACTGGTCACTACTGTGATTCTCCAGTTACCAGATGAATTTTGATCAAAATAAGGCTAGATCTCTGCTGAAGTGAACCGGGTAAATTTTACTCCCCAGCTTTCCTGTAAATTGTTTTGACAGACAAAGTATCACACATTACAAGCAAATGTTATTAACAATAATCTCAATCAACTGGAGCAATCCTCTCAGCTAGGAGCATAATTTGTTCCACTGAAGCTCATCCTTCTGCTACCCTATCTTACCCAATATCATATTCAGCATCATTTTTAAACATACCTATGTGTGTCTCTATTTCCAACCTGGTACATTGAAACTTTTAATAATGAATAAATGCCATGTATTCAATAAATTGTGTCTTGTAGCTCAGTGGTTAGAGCACACACTTAGCAAGTGAGAGACCCGAGTTCAATTCCCGGGCAGGGAAAAATGTTGGACAACTTTCCTTACTCCACACGCCTATTACCTCGCATTAAGTAGGAACCCAGTTGTTAATTGATTGTCAGATAGCTTTTCCGAGGGTAATAATCCTTCAAAAAAAAATTGGTCACTTCAATCCACGACTGTTTGTGGGACACTGCTGTGTGCAATTGGCTGCCACGTTTCGCCCACAAAATATACAGTCAATTCACTTTACAATATAATCTGGACATGGTGAATTTGTGGAATTAGGTTCTTGGTGGTCCTAAGGAAAGATTGAGGCTAATTCATTTAATTTCCTGGGATGTGGTAAACAAGATGAGTCAATCAGGGAGAATGTGAACTGCTTTCCACACAAGTGGGACCCACATTTAATGTGGAACTCTCAGAAGTTGGGTTTGAAGACTCTAACTAAGATAATAAAAATCCTTGCATTTGCTGTAGTGCGTTTCACCCACAAAATATAGTCAATTCACTTTACAGTATATTCTGTGAAGTGCTTTGAGACGTCTTGAAGATATGATTAGGCACTGTATCAAATGCAAGGATTATTATTTGAACATTTTTTCATAAATTTATAAATTTATAAATTGAAGCCCTTTGGTCCTATTTCCTACATTTCCAGGTGTCAGCCTAGCTCAGTTGGTATTGCTCTCACCTCTGAGTAGGAAGATTGTAAGTTCAAGTTGCAAGTCGGGACTCTGACCTGATGGGACAGGCTGACGCTCTAATGCAGTGCTACATTGTTATTGGTGCTGTTCTTCAGATGTGATGTTAAACCAAGGTCTTATTTGGGTGGATGTTAAGGTTCTCATGATACTATTCAAAAAAATGCATCACTTGTTACAGTCATCAATTTCCCCAGATAAAAAAGTCATTCACTTCATGGCTGTTTGTGGGACATTTCTACGTAGAAATTGTCTACCATGTTCACCTTCAATGTCACAAGTTTCAGAAAAAAACTGATAAGGATCAATATCAAATACAAGAATTATTTTTTCTCCTATCTGTTATTGAATATTTTACATATTTTAATGATGTGTTGCTACTCAACCAATTTTATTTCTGGATTGTCGACCTGAAGAGTCTCTCGTCTTTCTTTCTTTGTAGTGTTAGGCATGGGATAAGTCTTGCTGCTCCCTCTCCAAAGCTTGCTCTTTTTCTTTTGAGTTGAGTACATCGTGTTGTCTGACTATTAGAGCCCAGCATAACGTCTGCACCATGTTCTCTTCTCTACTGTTCTGGTTCTATATCTCAGTATATATTGTTTTAATTGCTTTGCCACTTTGTTCTGGCATTAGGAATGACAAGTCCATCATTGTTACAAGGCCTTATTCTAGGTCTTTCTCTGCTAATTCAATGCCAGAGATTGTATACTTACGGTACACTAATGTGCAACATTTTTCACTTACTTGTGTTTAATATTTAGTATTTAATAGTGTTCAATCCTCAGCTTGCCCGACCCCAGCTCAGACATCCAATTATGTGAAGCATTTTGACACATTCTCTCAATGTAAAACGTACTATATAAAGGTAAATTTAAAGTGCTCCGAGATGCTGTCTGGCATAAAGGGCGCTATATAAATGCAAGTAGCTGTTGTTGTAAATTGTTGTCTGCTCGTTTTTTGGGGGATGTCCTTCCAACATGAAAGCCGCTATATAAATGTAATTTGTTTTTGTGGTTTCATAGATCTTAAATCCTTCCATAATGTTTTTGCTGCATCTTCTGGATTTACTGCTCTCCCTCTTTTCGTACAATCAGCAACTTTAACAAGTTCACGTCAAGTATTGATACCGAAATAATTAATCTGGGTTAGAAGTGCCATGCACCAACTGGAGATCATTCCACCTCTCACCATTCCGGCATTACTCCTGTCCCAATGATAATCTGCTTCCCATTTTTTGACCAACTTCTGTCCAGTCCATTTATTTTTTGTTAAAAATGATATGAATGGTGTCAATTTAATTGGTTACATTTAAACCTGGAGCATAAAACTTGAGGATATGAGCAGAAAGTCTCAAATACGACTGGAAATTGGAAAATGCATTTTGCCTGCACCGAGCAATGTCATGTATACAGGTTAGGATCTCATCAAAAGCAGCTTAACCCATGTCCAACAATTCTTTGAAAAACTAAATAAACAGCTTGTGAAGAAAAGATGAAAGACTGTTAGTACAGATATACATATATAGATACACGTAAAATATATAAAATTGAATATTTATTTTATAGAAATATTTCAGTTTTAGAGTAACAGGAGTCAGATCAGGCAGTCACTATTATACTTCATTAATTTCAAAATAATAAAAATAACAGAACACGACCTAGAAATTATTTTCATAAATATTTTATTCTGTGTACAAAGGACATTTTTCTGCATAATATTCCCCCCCCTCAACACTTGACTTTCAAGGCAGAAAAATAAATGATGGCATCAGTTATGCCATTTAATTATCTGTGTAGTCAGAATTTCTGCAGTCACAACAGCTTTCAACACTTATGATCTTCACAATGAGGAAGAAATCTAATTTTCCCTCCACATTACGTCAAAGAAGCTTTGCAATAACATTCTGCCACTTAAATATCACAGGCATGAAAATGCAGAATATTCAGCCCATGTTCAAAGGCTGTGCTACAATCAGCTTTTAACTGTTTAACTGCCTTGCATTCTTAATTTGCCATATCTCACTCCATGAAGTCCGTTTTAAAAAAAAGTCAATGTTTCTGCTTCATTTCTCACTGAACAGAAGCAGCGGCACGAGCCAGCTCATGAAAACCATTTATTAGCAAGTGTCAGCTGAAGGAGGAAATAGAAACGTGAGTCACGTTATGTGATGTATGAGTTGTGAGTGTCAGAACAGCTTGAAAATGCCAACAACACTAGGAGAAAGTAATAGAGTGCTCAGTGAACTGGAACATTGCATCATCAAGCAGGTCTTCTGATAGCTCTTCATCTCCGTCAGCAAAGTAGGTCGGGAATGGTGGATTCTTGTTGTCTTCTTCATGAGTAGGTAAAGCCGTATCTTTCACCTGGGGCAAAAAAAACACTGTAAATTCATACTGTCATCTTAAACAGTGAGTGTAAGCATTTAATGTCCTCTGTGACATTCTGTAAATGTACAGCATTTCCAATTGTCAATAAATCAATGAATTACATGATGATAACAACAATTTGCATTTGTATAGCGCCCCTTAAGTGGGATAGCATCTTGGGAGCACTTAACAACGGCATATTTTGATGCTGAGCTAGGAAGAAGTGATGACCATAACCACAGTCAAAGAGGAACGTTTTCAAGATATAATCTGAATATAGACAAAGAAGGGAATAATAGTCCCTCCTAAATATCAAAGAAGGGTAATTCGGAGGGACTGAGGCAGGGAGTTCCAGAGATTTGGAGTGTAGTAACTGAAGGCACGGCTGTTGATGGTGGAGAAGAAGTGTCGAGGGACATGCAGAAGGTCTGAGCTGGCTGAGCGGAGGGGCCTGGTATGCCCCTCTGCGACCTCCTTCAACTCTACCAACACTGGCCTGCTCATGTCCCGTCCTATCTGACCCACCCTCAGTAAACAGGCTTTCAGCCGTTCTGCCCCGTCTCTTTAACTCCATCCCATTCAACTCTCTCCATCCCCTCACTCAAGGCCCGGCTCAAGACATACTTCTTTGACCGTGCTTTTGGTCATCTTTCCCCACCCCACCCCGTCCAGCTTTCACCCCCTTCAGCTTGGGTGCCCAGCCAGCAGTGTCAAGTATTTTGTAAATGTACAGCATTCCTCCCAACCTGAAAACCGCTAGATAAATGTAAATTGTAAGTAACTATCTTTCTTATATTGAATTTATGATGCACAATATACATTAATCACAAATAAATTCTGTATGGGTTTAACCACAACGATTTATAGAAAATCAATTTACAGAATATTTTCTAACAAAAACAATATGAAGATGTTGTAGATTTGAGTCGTTAAAATTTGACCACTCTGAGACGCTACCCTGTGTGAAGGGCGCTATATAAATGCAAGTTGTTATTGTAAAGTGAAAACTCATAGTCTAGGTTGACACTCCAGTGCAGTGCCCCTGGTCCCACTTCCATTGTTCAAGTTGTCACTAATGTCACTACTGCTGGCTTCCAGAGTGTGGATTTCCTTGTTTCCTGCTTAAATTGTCTGACTTCTTGTCTGTGTCGCTACCGCCGGTCTCACGGGGTTTGCAGCACTAGAAATGCTTCGAAAGCATTTGTGCCTGACCAACAACAAATTACACTTCTCACTTTCACATGAGAAGGACGTCCCAAGCCCTGGACAGTCAGGGATCTGCACCTGACTAACCAGTTTACTGTGCAAGAAGCCAGTCAGTCTGTGCAGAAGTCGTACCACAGGCAAGCACTATATGCAAATACAAACTCCAGCGAAGTGGTTTATAATGAGTCTCACTTTGATTACATTTTCAGACCCTAATTTATTCAGAATGTGCTATGGCTCCAAACCCTGACAACAACAACAACAAGATTCCATTTATAAAGCGCCTTTCACGTCAGGAGGACGTCCCAAGGCGCTGCCTTCCAAGGCGCTGACATCCATCTGTTCGTATATCCATACAGATGCATTGATGGGATTTATAAATTATTTTCTTTATATGAATTCATCATACAAACTCCTCCACAATATTCAAACACATCACATCTCATTCTAAAAAAACATGTTGGTAGTTCCAAAGTTAAAAGAATGCAGAATCTTCCTGACATTCAGTTAGCTGCGAACAGACAGGCTTGTCAATGTCAGGCAGGTCTGCCATAATCAAGAGACAATGAGATGTGAAAGTGCATACATGGCTTCCAAACATCAAGCTGAAGCTCCGTATTACAGGCAATCCTAGATACACAAGTACCATGAAATGTACAAGTGTTGTGTAATGCTGCTACCATTCCAGTAGAGAGAGGATTATCTTCACGGAGACTGGCCCCATTGTGGGATAAGAAAATGGTGCAGATAACTGACCATCAGGCAAATTGGCTACAGTGCTCACCAAAATAATCTTCTATCACCAGTAATACTGGCAATATTGTAGGTTAGTGGTTAGAGCACTCTTCTCAAGAAACCTGGATTTGATTCCCAGCAGTGCAAAATGTTACTCCACATGCCTGTTTACCTAGCAGTAAGTAGAAACCCGGTTTTTTATTCGATTGTCGGATCGCTTTTCGGGGCGTAATAATTCCTTCAAAAATAATAATAAATTGGTCACTTCAATCCACGACTGTTTGTGGGACACTCCTGTGTGCAATTGGCTGCTGCGTTTCGTTCACAAAATATACAGCTGAGATACACTTTACAGTATATTCTGTGAAGCACTTTGAGACGTCTCGAAGACCTGATAATATGCTATATCAAATGCAAGGATTATTATAATACAAAACTTTAGCACCCTTTCCTCTCTCTCTGACATTCTCTTTCTTTCTCTAACCCTAGACTGTAAATTGTCACATACATACTTACCTTTTCATTGCCAGCTCATACTTGGGCTGCACAGCTAAATCGCAGGCTTAGGGAACTCACATGCATATGTGCAACTAATTTTTGGGGGGCATTGTAGCCTATGTTCACTTCCACATTAGAGCCTGATGCAGACAATGAACAATTGGTGTCCACCAACTGGTAATAGTTGTTGTGAGGATATACAGTGTTCTATCGTTGGTTGTCCCAAAGACAGGCAGGTGTCTTGTTCCAGCCTTCCTCTAACACTCCTGGAATCTAGTCAGTAGATTTGTGAAAGAGACCCACAGCAGTTCCCCTCTTCTCCTCCTCACTTAATAGCTACGAATAACTCCAAAGTAATAAATAATAATAATAATAATAATCCTTGCATTTGATATAGCGCTTTTCACGTCGGGAGGACGTCCCAAAGCGCTTCACAGAATATACTGTAAAGTGAATTGACTGTATATTTGTGGGTGAACGCGGCAGCCAATTGCGCACAGCAATGTCCCACAAACAGTCGTAGATTGAAAATGACCAATTTTTTATTTTTTATTATTGTTTTGGGTTTTTTGGAGGGATTATCATTAGGCGTGTGGAGTAAGGAAACTTGCCCAAGGTTTCGCCCTCTGCCTGGAATTGAACTCAGGTCTCTCACTTGCAAAGCGAGTGCTCTAACCACTGAGCTACAGTACTTCAATATGGTACACTACCTTGATAATTTTTCTTCTCATTATGACGACCCGATAAGGGAATAATGCCAGAGGAAGACAAACAAACTGCAGGGATTCAGAGAGCAAGTTAGAAGGCTGCTTTACATTGACAGGGGACTATCAGCACTAGGGTTCAGACTTTTCTCAGGCTTAGCAAACCTAGGTACTTAGCAGGAAAAATAAGTCTAGAATAGAAGCAAAGTTTTCTCACTAGGCAGTAAATTAAGATTTCAAACTAATGTTTGTGTTCTCAAAACTGGTTTTGTGTTAGCGAATGGGGCGCCATTAGTTTTAACCTAATTCTACTTGATAGTAAATGGCCTTTTACGTAAGAGTTTCCAACACAGACTTTATTTCACTTTTAAATCTTCAATGGGTTTAGATCAACAATCATATGTTAATTGCAAACTTTTAATTAAGACCAAATGGAAAGGATCCTGAAGAAAATTTAACAACTTCAATTTAAAGGTATGTTTGGGTAGCTTTAATTGAAACACTATCATTGATGAAGAAAGATTAATGTTCTGATTATCTGACCTCATGCTTCAGTTGTGATAAGGTATTTATGTTTCCTTCAATATTCAGAGTGAGCAGATGGAACACAGTAAAGGTAACAGAGCAAAATGGAAAATTAAGAAAAAGGGAAATAAAGATGAGGAGAATAACACATACTATAGGATTAATATTATTGTGGGTATACATATATTTATATAAATCAAGAAAACAAACTAAGAGAAGTTTGCAAGTGAAGTCAAAGATAAAAGAATACCTTGCTTTACTGGTCATTGGACAGAGATATTGACCCAGAGTCATGAATCACCACATTACAGATTGAAGTACTTCTATACATTGTAATAGTTAGTCTGCCAGTTTTAGCAAAGAGGATTACAGGACTAATGTCATTCAAATTACATAATTTTAAAAGCTTTTGGTTTCTCTGCTATATCAATTACATATTGTACGTATTGTAATCCTGGAAGTATCATTTTGCTGTTTTGCAATGTGACTGTCCAATTAATACTTTTGTAAGCAATTCCTTATTGCCTCCAGATTAGAAACTGGGAGTGAGAAGCGCCATTTATACTTCACTCTCCATAATTGCATTTGAGAAGAATGCTGCAAGTAATTCATTTGAAGTACAGAAAGTACTTGGCGCAGGTTGGCAAGAGCCAAGGCTTGGGGACCCCAGAGTGTGCGTTGGGGTACTGCTGGAATCTAACCAGCTATAACCGCATGGTTTGCCATTGATGTTGCTTTCCCGCTGCTTGACTAGCTAGGAGCAACCTACACGTTGGGGCTTTGGCTTACAGGGTTAACAGGAGCTGAGTGGGATGACTCCCTGCCCCGTAGTGACTGTTCTGCCCTTCCAGATCGTGTTGATGAGCTAGTGCCCTGGCTGTCATCAGCAGTGCCCTGGGATACTGCGGACCCGCCTGGCTCAGGAATTGGACCACCGAGACTGCCACAGAGAGTTGATTTGATTCTGACTTTCCCTTGCCAAGCATATTACTTTGGATCAGTCAAGCTCCAAGGAGATCCACTTAACCTGCCACCAAGGAGGATCCTTCAGCACCTTGGCACCCACCCGGTGAAAGATGTTGTATAAATACAATTTGCTGTTGTTGATTTAAAACAGCACTATATCGCATTGTCAAAATGCATCAAAGCCCTTCACAGGAATTTTACTATGAAGTGTAGAATTGTGTATTTGCAGGAAAATATACTATGTATAAAGAAATATCTTGGTGGTCCATTAATTACAGTACGTGCTTGAGGACCAGTTTAATACTGGGATAAAGTTCCCAAAATATAGGTCATGGAAACAGCCTCTGAAAAGAATAATATTTC